TACTGCTTATGTGCTGTGATACTGTGGATATGCTGCTGCTGATATGCTGATACTCTGCTGATACTGCCTGTATACTGCCTGTGGCTGGATATGCTTGTTACTGCTGCTCGTGATACTGCTGATACATGCTGGCAGTACTGTGCTGCTGATACTGCTTGATACTGCTGATATTGTGCTGATACTGCTCGAGTGTTCCTGCTGCTGCTGAGTATAGCCTGATTATGCTGCTTGCTGTGATACTGCTGATACTTGCTGATTATGCTGCTGTACTGGCCTGATCTGCTTGCTGCTGATATCTGCTGATACAGCTTGATACTGCGTGATACTGCCTGATATGCTGCTGATCATGTCATGCCGTGATTATGCTGATACTGCTGCTGTCTGCTGTATACTGCCCTGCTGCTGATTACTGCTGATACTTGTGCTGCTGATTACTTGGCTGATACTGCTGCTGATACTGCTGTACTTGTGCTGGCTGATAGTGCTTGATCTGCTGCTTGCTGCATACGTCTGATTACTGTGATACTTGCTGCTCTGATATGCTGATTACTGTCTGCTAATGCTGCTGATACTTGCTGCTTGCTGTCTGCTGTTGCTGGATTACATCGTGATATGTGTGCTTGATGATATGCTGATACTGCTGATATGGCTGCTGTGCTTTGCATACTGCGATGCTGCTGTATACAGCTGATACTGCTGGAATGCTGCTGCTGCTGTTGATAGCTGCTGAGTATGCTGATTACTGCCGTGTTGATATGATGTGCTGGATATGCTGATTATGCTGATATTGCTTGTTGTGATACTGCTGTGTCTTCACAGCGTCCACATAGGCGGCTATTCTTCTATATGATTTCTAGTTTAGCGCATGGACGGAGTGCGGATGCGCCACTTCTTTTATATCTTGGTATATAATTTGCTAGCTATTACAATCTCCCCTTTTATATATCCTTACATATCATTTGTCTAGTATTACATCTCCTTTATAGTATTTCATTATATATTTCTTAGAATTACCACTCCTTTTATTATCCTTCATTATAATTCATATCATTTCTAGATTAACCACCTCCTTTATATATCATTCATATCATTTCTAGATTAACCACCTCCTTTATATATCCTTCATATAATTTCTAGAGTCACCACCTCCTTTATATATCCTTCATATCATTTCTAGAGTCACCACCTCCTTTATATATCCTTTATATAATTTCTAGAGTCACCATCTCCTTTATATATCCTTCATATCATTTCTAGATTAACCACCTCCTTTATATATCCTTCATATAATTTCTAGAGTCGCCACCTATCGGGACGCGAGCGCGACCTATGGGGACGCGAGCGCCACCTATCGGGACGCGAGCGCCACCTATCGGATGCGAGCGCCACCTATTGGGACGCGAGCGCCACCTAGCGAGTGTCGTCTGCGCCGACGCGTCACTTGCAGGTGACGAGGTTGTACATGCCGCGCCGCATCTGCTTGCTGACGAGGCCGTAGATGAACGGATTGACGGCGTTGTTGATGAAGTAGAAGTGGTGCAGCAGCCGATGCTGCTCGTACACGTACAGCGGCACGCCGCACACCTCCAGCCAGAATGGCAGCCAGTTGAAGATGAACACCATCGTCACGACGGCGAACACTAGCGCTGTCTTGTGGGCGGCCGCCGTCCCCGTCGTCGCAGGCGCCTTCGCCGTCGCCGTCGCCGCGGGCGCCTGTGCGCGGACGTGGTCAGCCGTGTTGATGGCCGGCAGTGACTGTTTGCACCCTGGTGGTGGCGTTTGTACGCCACCTAGCGGCAGCGACCGTACGCTCCCTGGTGGAAGCAGATAATTGCCTAATGGCGACGATGATTTTTTGCCCCCCGGCGACAACGACTGAACAGCCGCTGGCGAAAGCAGTTGCTTCCCCAATGGCGGGAGAGATGCGCCCCCTGGTGGCGATGATCTTTTGCCTTTTGACGGAGCCGATGTTTGTTCGCCTACTGACGGCGTGCCGGAGGAGGTGCTGATGAGGGAGAGCGGAGCAGCGGCGGCGGCGGAGGGCGACGGTTGTACAGCGACGTTCACACCAGGTAAGGGAGGCTGTG